CAGTTGACGCACCATGCACAACACTAGTAGTTGCCCCCATGTCCTTGCTGGCGCAATGGCAAAGTGAAGCTGAGAATGCTTCCAAGGAGGGCACCCTCAAGACCATGATGTATTACGGAACTGAGAAGAATGTTGATCTGGTGACCATGTGCTGTGAAGCCAACGCGGTCAATGCTCCAGACGTGATCATCACCAGCTATGGAGTCGTTCTCTCCGAGTTTACCCAACTTACCACCAAGAACGGAGACAGACTTAACAGCCGCGGCCTCTTCTCCCTCAACTTCTTCCGCGTCATCTTGGACGAGGCACACAATATCAAGAACCGCCAAGCCAAGACGTCACGAGCATGCTACGAGATCGCCGCCGAACACCGCTGGGTGCTTACCGGAACCCCTATTGTCAACCGCCTCGAGGACCTCTTTAGTCTTGTCCGCTTCCTGCGAGTTGAGCCATGGAACAACTTTTCCTTCTGGCGAACCTTCATTACTGTCCCCTTCGAGTCCAAGAATTTTGTCCGTGCCCTGGATGTTGTGCAAACCGTCCTCGAACCGCTCGTTATGCGCCGTACCAAAGACATGAAGACTCCCGACGGGCAATTCCTCGTCCCACTTCCACCCAAGCACATCGAGATTGTTGACATCGAACTCTCGGAACCCGAAAGGGCTGTCTACGACTACATCTTTAAGCACGCCAAGAGGGCGTTTGACAATAATATGGAGGCAGGCACGGTGATGAAGGCGTACACATCCATCTTTGCCCAGATCCTACGGCTCCGTCAATCGTGCTGTCACCCCGTGCTTGTCCGCAACCAAGATATCGTGGCTGACGAAGAGGAAGCCAACATGGCCGCTGACGTTGCAGCTGGGTTAGCAGACGATATGGACCTGCAGTCGCTTATCGAGCGCTTCACCGCCACTACCGACGATGCTTCCACAACCAACAACAACTTTGGCGCCCACGTCCTCAAGCAGATCCGCGACGAAGCCGTCAACGAATGCCCCATCTGCGCCGAAGAACCCATGATCGACCAAACCGTCACCGGGTGCTGGCACTCGGCCTGCAAGAAGTGCTTGCTCGACTACATCAAACACCAAACCGACCGTAACGAAGTCCCCCGCTGCTTCCAATGTCGCGAACACATCAACATCCGCGACATCTTTGAAGTCATCCGCCACGACGACGACGAGCCCATGACACCTTCCACTTCCACCCCGGGAGGAGCAAGTCCCGTGGAACCACGCATCTCCCTCCAGCGCATCGGCACCACCGACTCCTCCGCCAAAATCGTCGCCTTAATCTCCCACCTCCGCGCCCTGCGCCAAGACCACCCCAAGATGAAATCCCTCGTCATCTCCCAATTCACCTCCTTCCTCACCCTCATCTCCTCCGCCCTCACCCGGCACCGCATCCCCTTTCTTCGCTTAGACGGCTCCATGTCCCAAAAAGCCCGCGCCGCCGTCCTGTCCGAGTTTCAGTCCACCAACACCTTCTGCGTCCTTTTACTCAGTCTAAAAGCCGGCGGCGTCGGCCTAAACCTTACAGCCGCAAAGAGGGTGTACATGATGGACCCCTGGTGGTCCTTTGCCGTGGAGGCGCAGGCGATTGATCGCGTGCATAGAATGGGGCAGGAGGAGGAGGTGAGGGTTTATAGGTTTATTGTCAAGGGGTCGGTGGAGGGACGGATGTTGAGGGTGCAGGAGCGGAAAAAGTTTATTGCTACTAGCTTGGGGATGATGAGTGAGGAGGAGAAGAGGGTGCAGAGGGTGGAGGATATTAGGGTGTTGTTGGGTGGGGAGGGAGGTTAGGGGATGGGGGGAGGGATTGGGGGGAGGGGGGAGGGGGGGGTTTGTGGTGGGTGTGGAACAGGACAGCATCTCGGTAACTTTGGGCGTGTAACTTTGGGTATTTTGGAGCATATTGGTTTTGAGTCGTCGTCGTTTATTCGTTTAGATTTGAGTCTGGCGATGGTGTAGAGGTAGCTGGGTGCTATCAGGTTCAGGCAGTCTCATAGAGAAGAGGAACATCTTCAATGTCAACACGAGACATGTCAGTCTACGTCTTTAGCACCCCAACCATATGCTTTTATCGATGCGTCTCCATGCCAGATTTGTCATCGGTGGTCGGTGTTAGTTCGGTCGAGGCAGGAGCGACGCTTTCTCGGCATCGCACGTCATCGATCACGACTGAACTCAACGTCCCCCTCTATTCAACACAACCACGCCAGACACTCATTCCTCCCCTCCCCGACAACAACAAGCCAACTAAACAACATGTCGAAACTCAGCATTAACGACAAGATCAAGCTCAACAGCGGGTATGAAATCCCTCAGTTGGGGTTTGGGGTATGTAATCTCCGAGTGTCGTGCGCTCCTCCAGTCGGTGCATCTGGCCACGGGCATGCAACTAACTTGACGCCGTCCGTCCTTCGCAGGTTTACCAAACGTAAGAACCCCATCCCATCGTCCATGGCCTTTCCTTTGAAGGCCCGAGAAATTCTAACCCCACTTCTGTGTCAGTCCCGCAGACCAAGTATCCCAAATCGTCACCAAAGCCTTCACCATCGGCTACCGCCACATCGACTCAGCATCCGCCTACCGCAACGAAGCCGGCTGCGGCGCCGCCATTCTCTCCGCATCCTCTTCCTCTTCTTCCAACCTAAAAATCCCCCGCTCCCAAATCTTCTTCACCACCAAAATCGGGCCCAAACACATCTCTTACAACGCCGCGAAACGCATCATCAATGAGTCTCTCGCCAAGACAAAACTGGAGTACATCGACCTAATGCTCTTGCACGCCCCCTACGGCGGATCGGCTAATAGAAAGGGCGCCTGGCTGGCGCTGGTGGAAGCCGTTGAGGAAGGGAAAATCAGGAGTATAGGGGTGTCGAATTATGGGGTTCATCATCTTGATGAGCTGGAGCAGCATATTAAGGAGTTGGAGGCGGAGAGGGGAGGAGGGAAGGGAAGGGGCGGGGTGTTGAGTGTGGGCCAGTGGGAGATTCATCCGTGGTGTTTGAGGGAGGATATTGTGCAGTGGTGTAGGGAGAGGGGGGTGGTGGTTGAGGCGTATGCGCCCATAGTGAGGGGGGAGAGGTTTGGTCGGGAGCCGAAGTTGAGGGAATTGGCGGACAAGTATGGGAAGACGGAGGCGCAGGTTTTGGTTAGGTGGAGTTTGCAAAAGGGGTTTGTGCCCCTGCCGAAGAGTGTGAGGGGGGAGAGGATTAGGGAGAATGCGGATGTTTATGATTTTGAGCTGGAGGAGGAGGAGGTGAAGGGGTTGGAGACGGGAGAGTATAGTCCTGTTTGTTGGGATCCGACGACGAGTGGGTTGGATAATTATAGTGGGCAGGAGGTTTAATCGATGTAGAGGTAGTGGTCGAACTGGACTGCCCAAGTTTACCACTGACAAAGACCACGAGAACCGCTGCGTACCTACAGGTATGGACCAAAAAAAGCATTGATCAATATCAGGAAAATATGGAAAGGGGGATGAGAAATACACACGCAGCCGTCGACGCAAAGATCTCAGCCCTTTTCGCATTACTCAAAAGCTCAACACTTCCTCCAAACAGGACCGTAAAGAGGGCTATAAGCCCCAGCTTGAGCTTGTCCGATTCCACGGTGTACAGGACGGTGATGGGGCAGACCAAGAGCAACACAGCAAGAAACGTGCTCAGCCATGTGATGTACCGGGCAAGCCTTTTTTCAGTGGTGTGAAATACATTTTCGTCGTAGAGGTCTTGTCCTGATCGTGTAGAGGTACCCTGGAAGAGGGGTGCCAAGTAGGAAATGGAATGCGCCAGCAATCTGGACATCCGGTCTATCGGTTCTCCGGTGCCGTGCAACACCACCAAATCATCCGTATCATCATAAACAGAAGCGCTGCTTCCGCCCAGCGTTGGGAACGTGGTCCTTGTCCATTTATCATGTACCCCATGGAAGAAGTTGTACCTGAATGCTTTCAACGTTCTCGCATCTGGTGGAGGGATTTTAGCCAGGGAACTTTCAAAGAATAGCGCTTCCCTGTACTCTTTTAGTGTTTCCCTAATCTTCTTGACGAGGTCCATCCGTGACGGATCTGTGGTGGCGGCCCGTTCCTTGAACTCCTCCCAGTTTCGAAGTGATTGCATGGTTTCCCCGGTGCGTCGATCTTCAAAATCGAACTGGTCTAACTGGAACTCTAGGTCTGCTAACTCGCTTTGGAGTAATAGGAGGTTCCTTGCGGCGAGTCTGTCGAATCTCTTGTAGATGGCTGCCGTTCCGTCTTTGTGACTGGCGATGAAAGCTGCTAGAGATGGGTAGCCGTCGACGTATCCGTAGAGTGGTTGAGTGTTGGTCATTTTGTGAGATTCCCGTCAACTTGTGACCTCTGTTCGAGACCTTCGTGACTCCATGAAGTGAAGCAGGAGAAAGCCTTTGTGGAATTAATTTGAGTGACACCGATTGATGAACCAAGTCAGTTTGATCGAGGGACGCAAAAGCGGCAGATGGCTACAGATATATCCTGTGGCAGGTATCTAACATCATGGACTCCACGGAGTTGTAGTCGCCCAAAAGCCCAGAGGGTGCCAGCATAGCCCCCATAAGCAATTAGGCGTTCATATATTGTGCATCAGCCACGAAAATGTGCTGAACCGATCACCGTGGGAGACACAAACACTACTCGTCGGGAGTAGAAGCGTGTCTGCCCCTCACACAAACTGTCAAAGACCAATTGCTCGCTGCGCCACAGCCTCACTCACCACTTCGTCCTACACCAAAGAGTTGAGGAGTCGCTCCATGTCTTTGGGAAAGTTATCCCCGACCATGCCCTACCTCACCTGTAGGAGAAAAAGTTGCGGTTGAATCTGTTTCTCCGTTGCCAGATTACAACACAAAACTGCAGAAAAGGAATCTCGAAGCATTCGTGGACAGCGCAGTAATACAAGAACAACACCGACAAAAGAGAAAAGGAGCGGATGTTGGAAGTCCCAAAATGGAAGAAGAAACAACAAAAAAGTGTGCCCCCACGCGGGATTGAACCGCGGACCTCTTCATATCGCAGAAGTTTTAGTACGAGTGAAGCGCTCTACCACTGAGCTATACGGGCTTCAGCTGTTTATTTGTTGACATTCGCAGGTGGAGACATGCCTTATCAGCGGCGCAGCACATGACGATGCATTCAGCTCAGGCCAACTGCCCAGCAATAGCATCATCGTGCCTACCGGTTAACGAAAAATAGCCAGCCGTCGAACTTCTTTACCATACCACGCACAGAGAATACTTACCTACTTGCATCAGCAATCGTGACAACAAACTTGCATTTCTACTAAACGCCTGTCCTGTCCTACCAAGCCTCCGGGGCTTTCTCCCTATAATCCAAGCTAGATATGTGCAAACTCCGAATCAGCGTTGGAAACAAATCAAATCAAGTCAAGTAGGCCTTCTAAACTTGTTTGAATAAGTCCCGTAGATATTTATAATTTATTTACTTGGCAACTTAGTCAAGTTAACTAAATCGTATAGTATTAGTTTTTAGAACTTTTAATAGCATTTTTCTTATTCTTTCTATCTATAACCTCCCTAAAGCCCTCTCCCATCCCCCTTATACTCCCTATACCTCTATCCCCAACTTTATTGTCGTCGTTATTAATTAATAATCGATATCGCTATCCCTATTAAGACCAATTATCGACTAAAACTTTACGGTCTCGATTATATAAATAATATTAGTAACTAAACGGTACCTTTAGTTAGAAACCGTCAATTTAACGCTACTAAAAAAGCGCTCGCAATTATTAACTATCGAGGGTATAGAATAGATATTAAATACCATATATATTAAACGCGGGAAGGTTAATTCGTTAATTTTTTACTACCCTAATACGTTATCGACTATATATATATTATAATTAAAATAATAATATAATTTATCCTCCTTTTTTAATTATAATAAAAGGGCATTATAAAAATTAAAATCGATAAACCAATTTTCGTTAGCCCGTTTCGTTTATTAATTATTAATATTAACCGGCGGGTTATCGACCAATTAATTTACGTATTCGGTATTGTATATAATGGTAAAATCCCCTATAACTTTATCGTACTCCTCGTCATTAAAATTCTTCGAAATTTAACGATTATAATAATTAAGGTGGAAAATATAAGTAATCTAATAGAATAGGCTCTCTTCTATTAATACCTTATACTTCTCTAACTTTATAATAACCCTATTAAATATTAGACCAACGTATTCTATACCTTCGTTAATTAAATCGTTTTCGTAATTAATAGGAAAAGGCTTATTTTATTAAATAAAAAAAGAAGGGTCGGGTTCGGATTAGGTAATAAAGGTACGTATATAACGTCGTTAAATATTAATTACGATATTAGATTTTAGGATTTTTAGACCTTTAAAAGTATCGAAAATAAATTTACCGCTAAAACGGATACGCTTTTCTTTAAAAACGTCGAGAAGGTAATAGAAATTAGCTATAATAATTGAAAAGAAGGGGGCTCGCTTTTCGAACTTCTTAGTAAAGTCTTCAAAATAGTATATTATATTTATAATAGAGGTAAGAATAGCCTAATTATTACTATTTAATTAATCCTTTTAAAGAAGCTACTTCGCTAATTTTAAATAATTAACCATCTCGCTAATATAATAATCGATATATTTACAAAATTTCTAAGCGTAACGGATTATATAATAATTAAAATTCTAACGTATTGCGTTATTAAAAATTATATTAAAAATTAAAGATAAATAATCCTCTTCATCCTATAAATTAAAAAAAATAAGGAGGTCGCTATCGAAATTAAAGTAATTAATTAATCGGATAATCTTTTAAAACCTCTCGCGACGTTAAAGACTTCGGCGGATAAATTAAACGATATTATATAATTTACTAATTAAACCCTACTTACGCTACTCCTAGATTAGGGCATCCTCTTAAGTAATAAATAAACGGGTAATTAAGTTAGCGACCTCGGCTTTTAACTCTTTAACGATAAATTTAACCGTTTTACTAAATTTAACCGCGGCCTTTATTATTAAATTAAGAATATAATTAAAATAACGTAAGCGACGGTAAGGTAGTTCACCTTCGATTTCGCTTTTAATTATAATAGAGAATAATCTTTAAAGGACGTAAAAAATATAATAATTATTAATATTAACGTTATTGTACTAAAAGTAACCGACCTATTCGCGTTTAATTTTATACATTTTAATAACGTATAAAATAATAGTAGCTAAATTTTCACCGCTATAATTGCTATAAATTTTAAAAAAATTAGCCAAATCGTTACGGATTACCCTATAATAATCGATATAATAAAAAAATATTAAAATAATAATACGGTTATTAAAAGAGGTCTAAAAGTCGAAGGAAATATACTTCTTAAAATAGGATATAAAAAATCGAATTTTAAACCGCTCGAAGTAATACGTATATTTATTTTTAACTTAAATTATTAATATATAACGGGATTTAAATAATAACCTAATAATTATATTGCGGTCTATTAACGTTAAAAGCCCTTAAAATACTTTATTTTTAATAAAAAAGTAAAAGAACCGCGTATTAATAACTATATCTACTACTAATTCGCGGAACGCTTTATTAATAAATTTAATAATAAAATTATTCAATACGCTAACGAATTATTCAACGACCGACTTAACCTTTTTAAATTCGGGCTCCTCGGGGGCAACGCTAATTAATTCCCTAATATAGTAGGCGTAGCGTAAATAAACGAACGATAATGAAATAATAAATAAAGAATAAATCCTCTAATAATAATTATAATATTAATAACTATCCTACTTATTATTACCTAAAATTTTAATAAAATAAATACTATACTAACCGATCTACAAAATTCTCTTAAATTGTTTAACCAATTAACTTTCAAGGATATATTAATCTTTTTACTAAATTATCTTCAATATCGAATTAATATTTTTAAACAAATCCTCGGAATAAACTGTCTTTATAATCTCGATTTATCGCGTAAGAAGGATAAAACGCTTCCTATTAAATATTTCTATCGCCCGAATATATATAATCGTATTATTAAAGGAAATAATAAGCGTAACGGCCGTAATAAAGGAAATTTCAAGATCGGCGACGACGGGTATTTTAATAACGGCGGCGAATTATATTAATAATATTAAATAAAGGTTAATACTAATCCGCGATAAGGAAGGGAGAAATTAATAAATATTACAGGTATTTATTAAATTAAAGAGGTTCGATTTTAGGGTTTAGTAATATAACGTTGAAGAAACGTAGTAATTAAAAAAAATCTAGTACTCGAGAGGAAATCCAATATTCGAGAAAAAATCCAACACTCGAAAAAAAATTTCGAAATTTGTACGTTGCAATTAGGAATGTACTAATAAATGGTAAAAGTTAGAGGACTTCGAATACCAACGGTTACTATTTTTGGTAGTAAAAATCTATTAATTTTTACTATTATAACCCTAACCCAAAAATATAGTAAATAGGGCAAGTAAATCAAGTTGGGGTTTTTAACTTGGCCGACATACAGGGAGATCCTAACTTGGCTACTTAATTTACTTATTTACTTGAATTACTCTATACCAATTTGACTTATCTCCAACGCTACTCCGAATAACGCCAATGCATGCCCACACCCCATTATGTTCAATATCGTAGCTCAAGGTCATTTCATCTATACATCTAACCATCCATATGAAATCATCTATCCAGCCAAACAAATCAGCCATCACCCAAAATCGCCCCCAAATCCTTCATCCTAACCGGCTTCGTCAAAAACAAATCCACCCCACTCGCCAGCGCATCCTTCTGTATCGTCCCGCTCGTGACACCAGTAAGCGCCACGACCGTTGCCGGCTCCAGGCCTTTAACAACTTCTTCCGTGTCTTCAATGTTATTATTCTCCATTTCCGTTCCACTTCTTCCATCCACAGAAGTAGCCTCACTGCCCTTAGCGTCGTCCACTTCCTCTTTGGCAGCAGGTGCCACATTTGCATCCGCATCCGCATCCGCACTCCCGTTCGCAGGAGTAGGAGCAGGAGCAGTCGTAGCCGTAGACCCAAGCACCACCCCATCCAAAGACGGCCGTGCAACTTTCCTCTGAATGACTCTCCTCCCATCTCCCGATCCGTCGTCAATACCAACCTTGACACCGGTCGGCACCGCTGGCACTGAGAGTCCATGTCCAACAGAAGCAGAAGCAGCAGCACCCAAGCTTCCCGCTCTGGCTCTAGCTCTGGCTCTTGCCTGCGCCTGCGCCTGACCCTGCGCTTCCCCGACCTTAGAGGTATTTCTTCCCACGCTCCTACTCCTCTGAACCGGATACTCCCTCTCAAACTCCCTGATCTTTCTCGTGGCCTCGAGTCCGTCCATCACCGGCATGCTGATGTCCATCAGCACCCACTTGTACCTGCCTGGGTTCTCCTTGTAGATCTCGACGGCCTCGAGGCCGTTGCGGGCGGTGGCGAAGGGGCGGTGCGTCTTGCGCATCGCGGAGGCGAGAATGTGCAGGTTGATGGGGTTGTCGTCTACGAGGAGACAGGCCTTTTCTTGGTTGTTGTTGTTGGAAGAGAACCTGCCATCGTCGGAATTGCGCGGTTGGGAAGGTGAGTTGGGGAGGGATTGGGAAGGGTGCGTTGAGGGTAGATGAGGGTTGGAAGGGGAAGAAGGTCGGGAGTGCGTGGGGTGTGAGTCGGAAGCGATAGGAAACGTGGAGGATTTGGTGAGGTGAGGGGTGTCGACGTGAAGTTCGGAGGGTTGACTCGGGGTGATCGAGGGGGATGTCATGAGGATCGATTGCTGGCGTTGGGCGTTGAGCGCTTCGGGTTGTAGCTCGGGTGGTTTCGGAGGTGGCGATGCATCGGGGACGGTGACAGTGCCCGTGTTTGTGTTCGTAGCTGCAGCAACAGTACCAGCAGCGCCTGCACTTGTAGGACCAGCATTGCTGAGAGTGCTAGCGTTGGCGTTGCTTGGACCAGAAGGAAGGATCGAGGTAATGGCCTGCGACATGGGTGACACCTGCTCATCCTCAGGGGAAACGGGCACCTCAGTCAAGACTGGCGGCGAAATTACCGAGTCGAACGGC